ATATATATACGTTTTCAACATCCCTGTGTTTATTATTACTATATATATACGTTTTCAACATCTCTGTGGTTATTGTTATTATTATATATACGTTTTCAACATCCCTGTGTTTATTATTACTATATATATACGTTTTCAACATCTCTGTGGTTATTGTTATTATTATATATCCCTTTTCAACATCCCTGTGTTTATTATTACTATATATATACGTTTTCAACATCTCTGTGGTTATTATTATTATATATACCTTTACAACATCTCTAGCTTGAGTATTTGTTACATATGACTATTATGCCTCTCTAACTTTATTGTTTATTCTATATATATTTTAAACCTCTCATTCTTCAGTACTTATTTTATGTACTATTTACACCTCTCCGTATTTATCATATATACCTTTTAAACACCTCTGGCATTTGTTTCTATTTTATACACCCTTTATATCTCCGTGTCTATATTACAAGTACCTTTTAATACCTCTTTGTTTTTAGTATTTTTACACATGGTTTAAAACCATTTGTCTCTAATGCTTCTTTTACATATTTCTTATAGTTCTCTGCATTCATTATATGTACCTTTTCAACTACTCTGTTTTTAATTTATCCTCTGTATATACCTTTTATCACCTTTCCGTCTTTATCATGTAGTATGTGTATCTTTTATTCTTCCCTGTCTTTATTGTTAATAATATATACTTTTATACCTTTTTGTGTTAAACAATTATTTTATATACCTTTTACACCTCTGTGTCTTTGTTGTTCATTATTATGTGTTATTTATTATAGAAAACTTTTAAACTTCTCGGTGTTTAGTGGCCTGGTGATTAGGGTGGTCGATTCACACTCTGCAGACCGCAGGTTCGAATTCCATCACCGAACTAGCTCACCATTTTAGCTGTGGGAGCGTTATAATGTGACCGTCAATCTCACTTTCCGCTGGTAAAGTGTAGCCCAAGAGCTGTTAGGGAATAGTGTTGACTAACTTTCTTTCCACTTGTCTATCACTTGTTAAATTATAGATTACTAGAACAGATAGCCCGCGAGGAGCTATGCGTAAATTCAACAAAAAATAAATAAAAAATAAACAAACACAAAGATATATAGAAAATATACGTAATAAATACTAAAGGGTACAAATATTAAAGACTCAGAGGTTTCCGATATATATATATAAATACTAAGAACGGACAGGTTTAAAAGGTATGTGTATAATAAGTAACAAAGACAGAAAGGTATAGAATATGTAAAGGAAATACTAAAGACAAAGATATATAGAAAATATACGTTATAAATAGTAAAGACAAAGATATATATTTTTTAACCTCTGTGTCTTTAATATTTGTACTTTTTTAACCTCTGTGTCTTTAATATTTGTACCTTTTTTAACCTTTGTGTCTTTAATATTTGTACATTTTTAACCTCTGTGTCTTTAATATTTGTACATTTTTTAACCTCTGTGTCTTTAATATTTGTACATTTTTAACCTCTGTGTCTTTAATATTTGTACCTTTTAACCTCTGTGTCTTTAATATTTGTACATTTTTAACCTCTGTGTCTTTAATATTTATTACATCTATCTGCTATACCTCTTTGCCTTTAATATTCTTTTTATATATAACTTATATTCTCTACCTTTAGTATTTAATGTATATAACTTTTAAACATGTTTATTAATTTGTTTTAATTTTATCTACCTTTTTATCCCGTTCTCTTTGTTATTTATTACATTTAAATTTTATAACTCTCTGTCTTTAGCATTT